CATCCATGAGGATTTGCGTCAGAGACTTGAGTGGAACAGGAAGCAAACACGATCCTCTGTCGGTTAACTACGTCGTAATTGGAGGTTTGGATTTGACTAGAATGAGTTGGTGCAACCAGTCTGCGGCTTCACTTCGGAATCTTTCTTTCACTGTGTGGTAACAACCCTTTTGTTTCACATCCACAGACCTCAATCCCTGTCTAGACGTGTTCTGCCCGTCATTCGGAGTCTGCAAAACCTACAGTGCCCATGAAGCTCGCTGTGTGTGTAATGAAAACTGCCCGTCGTACCAAGATCCTGTCTGCACGGAAAATGGAACATCATATGACAATGAATGCTTGTACAAATTGAGCTTCTGCAAGGGAATAGACAATAATACCTTGTATCATCCTGGCAGCTGTGAGGGTAAGGTCATATTACTTTGTGAATGAGCTTTGTTTACCCTTAACAAGGTAATTTGGTATTATCAACTAAGTTAATAACATAAATTGGCCACCGTTGAGTTTCAAAGCTGACGTTTCGAGCTGAGGAAGGGCTAACGCTCGAAACGTTAGCTTTGAAACTCTTATCGGTGGCAAATTTACATTATCAACTCAATTGATACCGCTTATTTACCTTGTTATTCACTTCCACCGACGCAGCACCACAGTTTCATTAGAAACTTTCCCCCTTTCTTCATTTACCTCTAACAAGACACACAAACAAGTTCAAGTTTCCAAGTGTATACACGGAATCCCTCAGCAACTTGAGATATAACAGCAAAAATGGTCACTAAGGGCATAGAACTTCAGCTTTTTTAATCACTGCAGGCTTTCCAATCGTTCATGGTCGTATCAAGCTTCTTCGAATTCCCAATTGGTCAGACTCAAGTTGCCAGACAGTGGTATTCCCACCGTACCGCTTCTATCCGAACAAAAAGGTTCAAGTACAGATCACCCTTAATCATATGAACTTGGATGACTCCGTCACAGTGCACCATGCTATCACATCCTGGACCGAAAGAATCAATACACAAAATTTTACAGTATGCGCAATGCAATCTGGGAGAAATGGAGACAACTTCAATCCATTCGCCACTGTTGATTGGATGGCGTACCAAGGAGCACCACCGGAGGGAACGACGGGAACAATCAAGATGACAAAATGGTGGTCAGGAACAAATTGTGCAAATGTGACGTTTCCAAAAGTAGGTTTACATTAAAGTATTTGTTGGAATCGTTACTACTTTTTTGTACAACAGGCTCCATCTCGTTTCCATGTCAAAATGATAATGACAAAAATTATATTATGATAATGATACAGTGGACTCCCGTTATTGCGGACGCCCCGGGGGGAGGGGGGGAAGAGATTTGCGAGAGTCCGAAATAGCGATTTACGAGAGAATAAATTGTTTTTCCCTAAACATATGAAGTAATGTGTAACTACGCAAACACGAAGCTTCTAACATGGCCTCACCAATCGAAAAAGATGCGGCCGCAAGCGAGAAATTCTCATGTTCGTACCCAATTGAAGAGTGGGTTCCTTATTTTCTTTTATCGTAATGTCGCTTTAGATTATGTGAGTCAGGATTTTGGACGAAATGCTTAAGTTTCCGCTAAAGTGAGAGAAAAAACAAGTGAATTGTCGCGCTGGGGGGCATGAAATTTTCCGCATTTCCGTAATAGCGAGAGTTCGTAATAACAGTAGTTAATTTCAGTCATTTCTTTAAACGTCTCGCTGGGAGACTGGCTCTTGTCCGCAATGACGGGGTGTCCGTAATAGCGAGGTGTCCGCAAGGTGAGAGTCGACTGTGGTAGTCATATTGAAAATAAGAATGATAATAATAATAAAAAATGATATAAAAAAAAATGATATAAAAAAGACCGTGAGCAAGAAGTTAAAATAGACAGCAAGTAATTCAACTCTGATTTCAGTTTATTTATCCATTTCCACCAAACTCAAATTAAACTGCGAAAATGTGGCAAGATGTGTGATGGAATGATTCATTTCATTTGTTTAGGACAAGTTTAAGGATTCACCAGTTGTTCTTGTGACGTCCAATCACCATAGAAGTGGGAAGGAACATGACACTGCTTTGATTTGGACAGAGGATATAACCGAGAACTCGTTCAAGGCTTGTTTGCGGGAACTGCAAAACTTTGATGGGAAACATCAAGATATTTATGTGGTATGTGATGTGTTTTGTCTAAATATAACAACTGAAAGATTGATAAAGATCTAAGATTAGGGATATTTTGCTTCAGTCCTTTCAAGGCATAAGCTTGATTCAGTGGAAAAGTTTAATGTCTGCATTTGTGTTTTAGCTTGATTAGGATTCTTCCAAAGATTTTCCCTGTTTCGACAGTAAAAATAGTTTTTTTTAATTGTTTGTTGGATTGAATTTCAAGGTCTTTTATGTGTGGCAACAACTATAGCCCATTTCAATACAATACTGTACTTACTAGAAGTAAGTCTTTTGTTTTGTACACTGCTTCTTCCCAGAACTGGTTAGCGTTTGCCAACTTGCATAAGCCGCTCTTCACTGAACACGGCTCTGTAAACTTTCCAAACACGAATCCACCAACAGATGAAGACAACAATGCTTACTGCGAGGTAAGTGTACGATGATCTCATAGGAAAAAATGTACTTTTGGATAACAAACATATAAGGATTCCCATTAAGCACCTTTTTTACCTCATTGATAGTTTGTGCACTTTACACGAAGTTATAATGCGACACCATCCGTCCAGATATCAGCGAATCACAGCACGACAGCAAGTGGAAACTTGGCACCAGTTCATAACGGTATTTCAACATGGATTGAGGTAAAAAGCTCACTTCTCGGAAAACTTTAAAATAACACAGGAGATTGACTTAAAAATAGATGATTGATTATCCATGTCGTTTTCAATTTCCTAGGATGCATTATAAGACTATCACGAACGAGATCGATATCACACTCTTATTTTCCCCTTTCCTAAGAAAACAGCCTAGAAATAAGGAAAAAATTTTAATCAGGAAATTTTGACTGTTTACAGAATATGAATGAATCTGGATTCAGAGTTTGTGTCAAGGAATTGTACGTGACTAGATATGATCCTCTGTCAGTGGGTTATGCGGTCCTTAAAGGTTAGTTATCATTCCAAATAAATCAACTTAATTTTGGTGGTTTGATCTCAACAATATTTAGAAGGAGAAGATGCAAAAATCGTTCAGCATACTTGTAAATATATGAATTATTTCAATAATTAATAAATAACACATTTGTTTCCAGACATTTGCGATCCCGGATGGAGCTACTTCGATGGCTTCTGTTACTTCACGAGTGATACCTGTGCAAATTGGACCACAGCAGTAAAAAAATGTAGACAAGAAAACTCAGTCCTTGCTGACGTCAACAACAATGAAGAAAATGTTTACATACAACATCGCCATAATGGAGAGAAATCCTGGCTGGGTTTAAATGACAGAACAACAGAGGGTGACTTTACTTGGGTGGATCATGGACATGGAAACTTTACAGCCTGGACCAAGAATCAGCCAAATAATTTCAAAGAAGAAGATTGTGTGCACGCTCTTGGTGTGGAACACAACTACGAATGGAACGACGTGCATTGTAGTGAGTGTCATCAGTTTACTTGTAGGAAAGGTAAGTCAAACATATTAAATGAAGCTTTTACGATATCTTTTTCACGAGCAAAATTTAATTAATGCTTTACAATGGTTGGTTGGGTGCTACTTGTGTTATGACCCAGTTCTGTCTGGGCTTATCAATATCCTATCTTCATTCTTGGAAACTTGAGGAAAGTTGGAATACTCCCCTCCACATGTCAGTCCATCACGTGTAAGTCCTAGTACTTGGCCATGTTTCCTTTCAGGATAGTTCACTGAAAACCATTAGATCTCCTTGATGAGGAGAGGCACTAAGAAAGCTGGGTATATTGATTAATCATGTGAGTGGACCACTCTGCTGCAGTTTGTGGGCAAGATTCTCGGTACCACCGGTCTATCAGGAAAACTTCATAACTTTCTTAGGGGGAATGGAAGACACGAATACCAGCGATACTCCCAATCAGTTCAATGTACGGAAATACGCTAAGTCAGTAGTGGGATATTAAGTTCTCCGTGCTGAAAGAGTGTTAAATGCTTTATTTTATTCCAATACTAGACTTAGATGAATGCCAAAATGATCTGAATTACTGTCACAAACTGGCAACGTGTACAAATGAACGTGGCTCGTACACGTGCAAGTGTAAAGCTGGATACATTGGAGATGGATTTGGTTGTTATCACATCTATGCAGGTAAGATGTACTGGAAAACAACTTGAAATACATTGTTATGGTCCTTTATGCCCAAAAAAAAGTTTCTTGTCTCATGAGCCTTGTTTATGCCCTGCGTCACCAACGAATTCTCTATAGTTCAGATGTGTCTTGTTCTTTATACATTAACATGTAAACACGTTATAGCAATAAAAAAGTATGTTTTTAAGGGTGCAATAATACTTATTCCTTTATTAAGGCCTGGGGTATTCAGCAATATTAGCAAACGATGGCGGTTACCTTAGAACCCTGAGCAATTGGTTAAGCCCTGTTGTACAGAGCCAGTCCTCATACTGGAAGCGCTGCTGGCGAGCATCAGTGGATGGTTGGGCCAGTACTACCTTCCACTCATTGTGCGACAGCAAAGGGCCCACAGTGACTATAATCCGTGTGGGAAAATACATCTTTGGTGGATACACCGGCACATCATGGAGTAAGTGGATGATTGATTGAATTTGCTTGCCTTTTCTCCTCGCTGAAGTTGAACCAACAATTAACATTTGAGAGTTCATCTGGTTTTTAATTTGAGAAAAAAAAATCACCAAAGAATCAAAACAACGCTGTGCGGTCCACGGCATATTTGATCAGGAATAGCTGCGTCTTATAAGGAATATAAACTGATCATACCCTTACTTGCGATTGCTTTTTAAGTGCCGATTTTTGACGCCTATCTTTCTCTGCATAACTGTTAAAAAAGAGTTGGCGTCAGGTGAATTATTTTATTCATTGGGCACTAGAGCACGACCAGAGCAATGTGTGAAAGAAGTGAAGGATATGTTCAAACAGGGTTTTCTTCCTTTATACGGGTAGTGGAAACCTGCACTAATTTTCTACAGGGGTAAGCGAATTTAAATGTTTCTAAATTTTGAAGAAAGTAAGAAACTCGAAGCTTCCAATATAATTTTAGGGATTAGTTTTCCTCCAGGCTTCCTTGAGCTAACGGGGAGAAATACGATATTCCACTTCTGGACCGATTCTCGATCTTTTCAGATTAACGGTCTCGGAAAAATTTACATTTTACGTGCTTTTTACGAATGTTTTATTGTGATTGATGTCGATGGGTTAAGAAACATGATTTGAAGTAAACGCGCATCGCCCTCGAATAAACGCCGCTTAGGAAGCGCTAAAATGTAATTAACGCCGCGGTGATTAATCGAGTACACGCGTTTTTAAGAATAAACCAGTGTGGGAAATGACTCAGCCTATCATATGATATCTTGTGAACGAGCTGCATGATCGACAGTTGAATTATATTTTAAATTCTTAATTTCTTATTCAGCTTCTAGTTGTAAATACCAGTACACTTCGAGCGCATTTTTGTTCTCATTGGTTAACAAGCCTGGCTGGGGACCAGTGAAACTAACCCAACAAGGCAACTATGCCTATCATAGGAAATATTCCATATACGGTTGTCACGACTGTGGTCCCGCATTTGGTGGAGGACACGATATCTACATTGCCAGCTACGCATCATCCAACAAATATTCTTACTCAAACCTTGGACACACCTATAGTCCACCATCTGGCCACAGTTATACCAGCTCCTTCATCCAATCATTCCTGGCAGGAAGTTACAATTTTCAACCTGATGAAGTTGAAGTGTTTTATGAAAGTACTTAACATAAATCTGTTGAATCAAGTGTCATAAAAAAATCCACAGGTTTTAGAAAACTCAAAGACGTCAGTTCAGTAAACTAAAATGACGTATGATTTGCATGTTTCCTTTGTAGAATCCTAATCACTTTTTGAAGGCATGTCACGTAATAATGTAGATTTAGAATAAACAGCATGAAAAGTTATACAAGTAATAAAAGAGTTGAAAAAATTTCCTATCAAAAGTATTGGTGAAAATTAAGGTAGTTTCTGTTTTCCCCTCCGCTCCATGAATCAATCGACAGTCACGTGACACACTTGTGCGCGCTCATGACCAGCAGGATTTTCAGTAACTCGTGCAGTCCTGAAAACATGTTTGTTTGCCATTAGACGTTTGCGCATTTGTTATTTGTGCAATTTAGTAATCAGACTTGCATTGATTTGACAAAAGTTTAGGATTGATCGCCAAAGGAATTATTCATCCGTATTGATGATATTTCCAAGTATTCCCATTTAAATAATTCCAGTGTCATCTCATTTGTACGACACAGAGAACGTCTTCTAACCAAACTCTTATTTCGTTTCTCCTGGGAAAAATCAAATTGGTTTGAATGACTGGAAGGTTTGGAAAGTCAGGAATAAAATCGCAATGTTTTACTAGGGGTAGGAATTCGAAGCTAAGTTCGAGCCGTGACCGAAACAGTGACATTAGCTTGACCAAGGTCGCTTTCGTGACAGTTTGCTCGGAGAAACCTGGTACTAGCTGGCGCAGTCAAATTTCAGTGCGATCACCACATTTGAAACGTTTGCCAAGTTTCTTCAGTGGAGGGAAGGGCTGTAGTGTTGTGCTAATGAGTTTAAAATCCTTGTGAAGTTATTTTAGCTCCTTAACTTAGACGTTAGTTGGTTAGAATCGAATTACCTCTGAAACTGTTGAATCCAAAAATAAAATTGAATTATTTCCCGTGCGTGGAAAAGTTGAAGTTCACAGTAATGAACGATGACTTGATGGTTCTTTGCTTTCCAGGTAATTTAGTGTTAACAACTGAGTTGAAAACGTAAATTTGCCACCGTAAAGAGTTAAAAGGCTGACGTTTCGAGCGTTAGCTCTTCGTCTGAGCGTTTGGAGGAATTGTGTGTTGTGTGTTTTTATATGCAGAAATTGGAGCTACGTTATTGATGGGAATATGGTGACGAGAAAACAGGAATAAATTAGTTGAATGAAAAACGCTCTTGATAACGTGGGGATTAAGAGTGCCGATTTGGAAGATAAATTTTTGTTCTAGTGTTTTGCGGCTTTCCGAACTGCCAAGATGTAGGGAAAGGCCATTAACTGCCATATGCTGTTTAGAATGATTAGGGAGATTTAAGTGTATAGTCGTCTTACTGTTTCACCAATGTATAACTTTTTGCAATAAGTGCAAGTTATGCAGTAAATGACATTGGCGGAGGTGCACGTAAAGTGATCAGTGATCTTAATGGATCTCTTGGGTTCCGACATTTTCTCTACGTTATGAATGAAAGGACAAATTTTGCACCGTGAGCGAGTGCATTTGAAAGGTTCAGGTTGGTCATTGGTTTTAAATGAACTTCGGACCAAAAAGCTGCCTTTGTTTTTGTCACGTTTGAATGAAATTAGTGGGGATTGCGAAAAGATAGTACCAGTCTCTGAATCGTTTTGCAGTAATTTAAAGTTTCTAGGAATGATAGATAAGTTAACAGTGTGATTGTGAAATGTGAGAGTAAATGGAATACGGTTAGTGTTTTCCTTCTCAGCTGTTTGTAGTACTTACTGTCGATCAATTTGTTGGGCACGATGGTGGCCCGCTTGAACGACGGAGACAGAATAGCCGGAAAATTGTCGGAAAACGCAACATTGCCACTGATTTTTCGGAAAAATCAGAATCGTCCCTATGTAAACGACGAAGTCTGAGAAACTGTGAAAAAGGTATGGAATTCTTGACGTGTGATGGATGCGAAGATGAATACAAGAAGTAGCTATGTGTATCTGCAGGTTTGTAGTAAACACTAGTACATAACCGTTAATTGTCTTTAATTGAAATTTTGATGTCTGGAAAAGCCAGAGAAGTATTGGAAATTTCCCAGGTATATTTAAGAGCTGGGTGAAAGGAATTGACAGCGGTTATAAGTTGAGTAGGCTCCTCTCTGGTAGAGGAGGTGGCGCCGATGCAGTCGTCAATATAACGGCCGTAGAGTTCAGGTTTGGGGCCGGGGTATTGACTTAAAAAATTGGTGTTCGATAAAACCTACAAAAAGATTGGCGTAGCTGGGTCCCATTTTAGTATCCATAGCCACGGCATTAGTTTGTTTGTGGTAGTTACTATGAATGAAAAGCAATTGAGTGTAAGTGCTAGTTCGGCTAGACGGAGTAGTGTTTCCGAGCTAGCCTCCTTAACGGTGCGTTGATCGAAAAAATGTCTGAGGGCCCGGAGACCTTCGTCATTGGGAATGACAGTATAAAGAGATGTAATATCCATGGTGAAAATGAGTTTGTTTTGGCCAAGGAAATTAAAATCACGAAAATTTCAAGTACGTGTCGGCTGTCCTTAATGTAAGATAGTAAAGTTTTGACGATAGGTGCCATAATTTTGTCTAAATAGCTGGAAATATCAAGCCAAGTGCACATATATGAGCTTCAGAGAGGCAATGAAGAATTTGAATTAGTTGCGTTCGTTACGTTTTTGGTACATAGCTCTGATTTTAATTCTCATAATATTATGTGAAAAAGAATTTAGGGCACACTGAATTTGGCGTCAATATTGGTTAGAATGAGAAAAAGAACATGCATGAAAATTTGAGCGAAAACCCTTTGGAATAACTTTGGAATGAAGGCAACGGCCGATGAAATGGATGTGGATACAAAACCTAGTTTTGGCGAAAATGAGAGTGGCTAAACGGAATGCTAGATCTTTACTTTACTTTTGCCTAGGTTTTCTCATTTATGTATGATGTTCACGTCGCAGGCTTTTGATCCAACTAAGAAACTACAAATAGTTCTCATGGTTGAGTGAAAGGATGAATTTGTGTTCAAATTCACTGTTAAATTATTCATATTAAGCTAAGTAACTGAAAGTGGTTGTATACAGTTAAACCAGTGTGGTCCATAATGAAGCCTTTGCTTTTAAATCGCGTTTACAAATTTTAGATTTCAAAAGAGGAGACTGTTCCATGCATATGTTTACTAACTCATCACCACTGCTCAGAGCTGGAAAACACATGTACGGTGGAACAGCGTACGTGAATTGTGATTTATTCGATTCATAGCTACGCAATATCTGCTAACCCATGAGATGTGACCATAGCGTTTCTGATTTAAAAGCAAGTTATACTTTTCAGGAAATGGTCACTTCTTCTAACCCGCTAAACTAGCACGTCTGATAATTCTCTTAGGTATCGGATCGGATCTTATGTCTTTTGGAAACCACGTTTCTTTTCGGGGCGAAGTAATTTTCCAATGCTTCCTCGTCTTCGTCTAGCGTTTCGTGATCGCTGGGCAGAGTGGTGAATATTCGTTGTCGGAGAATCCTCGCCGCCAGTTTGTGGAGTATTCAGAGGTCAAGTGACTCCTTTCATTCCTCTGATTCAACTGACCTTTATTTTATAATCAAGATAGTATATTTATAATGTAATACTCGTGATTAGTTATTTTCCATCTACTTAAGAAAGTAGATTTGCGACACGAATGAGTGATGGGAAGTAAAAGTAACGCAACACTACACCCTACCTCCAAGTAAACAGGCCCCTCGTCGCGTGACGTTCGAGATGCCTGGAATATTTTGTGGAGTAAGTTACACGAATTGTGTGGATTAAGGAGTGTCCACGTCGAGCCGAGCGTCTAGATTGTCTACAATCTGTTTTTGACTTTTGTTCATTCGCTGTTGTTGTTTACTTTGCTGAGAGGTAAGAATTACGTTCAATATAGATAAGAATTTAGCTCACTTGCAAAGTGTAACTTCGCTGGACTCTTGCAACGTGAACGAAGATAATATTCAGCTATAAGAACTCACTCTCTCCGCTCGATCGAACAGAAGTCAATTCCCCTGAAGTGCTTCTTTCGTCATTTTCTGTCAGTTCACTTAAACTCTCTGATATCTTCAATATTCTTTGGTTTCCCTTCGTATTTTTAAGTTTGTGGGTTTCTGATCTATTATAGTTAAGACTTAAGCGACGCTCGTTACATGCAGAGCACACAATTGCAAGACATACGATTTTGATAGAGTAAAGCGAAGGCGCGTTCAGTCGGCCTTCTGCAACAAACGGGTTGAAGTTAAACACTCTTAGCAACAGAGAAAAAGAAAACAGTGATTGTAAGTTAAGATTGCCTTAACGGAAATTTTTGAAAGAAGATTCTCATAGGAATGGAAAGAATAAAAGGGACAAAGTGTTTCTGATCGTGCTGACGTCGATCAGCTCTGATCATTAATCATTCTGTCGGGTAACTTTGTTCAACGTCGATTAGTTTTCAGGCTTCCAAGTTAAGCAATGGAAGTGTTAAAACTGACGACAAAATAGTCGCTTAATTCCATGGATTGTACTTGATTTTATCCGACAGAAGTTAGAAACGAACTAAAAAACCTAAATCTGTAAAGTAACCAAACGAATGCTTGATCGATTTGACCTAAATGCAGATATGTCAGGTATTTGATAAAATAAATCAAACTTGCTCGCTGTCTGTTTCCGTGATTGACAAACCTTCCCAAGTACATCCATACCTCAGTATACCATGCAACTGTTGCAGCTGATGGTAACAGTCTGACTTTTTTACATGTTTTTCTTTCAGATTTCAATTTAAAGTTAGAAATGACTTTAATTGATTGCATGATCAATTTGATCTTATCTTCATAAACAAATAAAACTTACTTTCTGGCAGCTTCTGTGATTAACAGATGAAAAGCTTTATTTTCAGATGAAAGTTTTCTTCCTTAACATTCTTTAATTCTGATAATTGCAAATGATTAAGGTCCTACAAAATAAGTAAGCTTTTGTTTATTTATTTTTATTTTTTTGCACTGAGATGGGGTAGCCTATATTAAAGTTTCATGGTTCCAAAATTGTTTTGTTTTCCTTTGTGGAAGTCAACCCTGAGTATTTTAACCATTACTTGTTAGTTTGAAAAAGCGAAAAATGGATTTCAGCACATATTTGGGGACATGAATTATTTTGTTCTTAGGTAAACACTCTCATTCTCTTGACCCTTTAACTCCCAAGATCTCTTTAGTAATTCTCCCTACTGTTTGTCATACCATTCTTATGATGTAAGTCTGGAGAATTTGGTATTGGATCAACTAATAATCCTCTAATTGATATTTTCCTTAATTTGTATCACTTATCTGCTTGATGTTGTATTGATATTGTAAGGAGAATTCCTGTCTTGGTCACTCATGCAAGTTAACCCTTTAACTCCCAGATTAAATTTGTAATTCTCCTTACTGTCAACCATACAATTCTTATTAGTTTAGTTCAGAGAATTTAGTATTGGATCAACTAATAATCCTCAATTTGATCTTTTTCTTTATACTTATCACTTATCTGGTTGATATTGTATTGATATTGTAAGGAGAAGTTCTGTCTTGGTCACTCATAGGAGTTAAAGGGTTAAAGGGTTATATATTTGTGTTTTGAGTTTTGAAATTGGTAAATGATTGCAGTTGCAATTTTTGAAGTGAATTCATTTTGTGCAAATTAGATGGTTAAGAAGCTAGACACAGTTTATAAAGTTTTGAAGACAGTCCTTAATGGATTTGCAAATTAATGAAGGTTCTTAATTTATTTTACAGCCTTAGTCTTAAAAGCACCATGCTGCTTGACAAACTCCATTAAAAACACAAAACAAAACAATAAGTTCTCATCCAGATTTTTTTGTATTTAAACAGTGAATATGTCAGAGAGAAGGACTTATCCGGTTAGTTTCTGTTAAATAACTAGGGCCATATTCTGATGAATTCACTCTATTAATCACAAATAAAAATAATTTACAGAGGATAAAATCAAATAACAGGTCTGAAAATTAGCAACTTGGTCTGAATATCTACAGCTTGAAAATCATTCATGTTTTGGTTTATATTACAACTGTCTTAAGTTATCACATCAAAACAAAACCAACCATAGATTTGCACTAGTGATTTCTTTCCTGTTGAATATTAATTTTTAAAATAAAAGTAGTTTGTATGTTTTTGTTAAAGCAGCTTGGAGAGCTCTGTCAAAATTCAAATATCTTCCTTGTTCATAATTGCCTTTATGTTAACATGTATCACTCGAGCAGTTGTTTATGAACACAAAAAATCCTACAAAAGGATTTAAATTAAGATGTTTCTCATGGAAATAAATAAGTAGAGCCATTACACATAAGCATCCTTTACTCAAATTGTTTAGAAAGTGTTTAAAAGAATAATGGAGGGGGTGTCTCTGCCAAAGATTGTACTAAGAGAAATAAATGAATACCTTGGTTTAGAAGATGTTAGATTATAAAACTCATTTTTTGGCAATTTTTGGTTCAATGGTTATTATAAATGCCAAGAAAGTTAGTACAAGTTACTCATCTTAAATGACAGCTGTCTTTTTTTTGTTCTGACAGTTATATTTCTAAGACATGGATTTCCTTTCTAAGGAGAAGCTGAGAAGTGACATTAAGACAACTTTTAATGTAACAAAGGAATTAGATCTGTCAGGGTATTGTTTGCGTGAATTGCCTGAAGGTGTGCTGGAATTCACTGAGTTGGAGGAACTTGACCTGTCATGGAATGAACTTAAAACAATACCAGAAAATATTGCAGGATTAAACAACATTACCAGAATTCATCTGAGTGGAAACCAGCTTTCCATATTCCCTGCAAGTTTGACACAGCTGAAGAAACTCACAAGGCTGGACATTACATATAACAAACTAACTGCCATCCCTGATGTTATTGGTGAGATGGTGGAACTGGAGACACTGGATCTGAGTCACAACCAGTTGACTGTGTTGAGTCCAGCTATAAAACAGCTGAAGAAACTCAAATGGCTGTACATCTCATTTAACAAACTAACCACCATCCCTGATGCTATCAGTGAGATGGTGGAACTGGAGGAACTTCATCTGAGTTACAACCAGTTGACTGCGTTGAGTCCAGTTATAAAACAGCTGAAGAAACTCAAATGGCTGAACATCCCACATAACAAACTAACGACCATCCCTGATGCTATTGGTGAGTTGGTGGAAATGGAGGGACTGAATCTGAGTTACAACCAATTGACTGTGTTGAGTCCAGCTATAAAACAGCTTAAGAAACTCAAAATGTTGTTTGTGAGTGGGAATCCTTTTATAGTTGAAGGAATAAGAAGTGTTATGGAGCTAGAGGATACATGTAAGATTGACACTTTTTTTTCAGATATCCAAGGTGAGTAAAGGAAATTTCTGTTCATATTTATGTTGTGACATGTGCATTTACTAAATTGGTTTTAATGTTTGACTTCCAAGTGGTTATTCTGCTTGTTACTGATTATTTCAGAAAGTAAACAATATTTACACAGTAAAGCCTTAGAAGAATATGAAGTAAATAGTATTACAGTTACAGTTACTGTATAATAATTCAATAATAATTCAACAAAGTTGGCATCACTTAAGAAATACATGACATTTGTATCGCACGTTTTTGTTCAATATTGAAAAGCTTTGTGTAAACATTTTGGCTGACTTTGAAATTTAAGTTCATTTGTAAGGAAATATGATATGATTGGAAATCAAAGGGTCAATGTTATTACAAATCATTCTATGCAGTTAGGATTATTGTTTTGAGTTTTACTTTCTATTTTACTGGAATAACAAAAGGATAAAATGTATCCCAAGTCATTTCACTGTTAGGAATTGTTGTTTTATTTTTGCTTTCTATTTGATTAATTGGAAGTGTTCAAATAGTGAATAACTTTTGAATAATCAAACAAAATTTATAAACTTATGTGATCTGTGAATGAAATTACAGGAATAACACTTAAATATAATTTTATTTTAAGTGTGACTGCATTCTGATTATTATTTCCGCATAATTTACATTGGTCTGTTTTGCATAATCTTTTTTAAACTTACTTACCTTACTTGTTGTACAAATTTATCAATGCATAAATTGCTTTTTTTCTTTGTGTTGTGAAAACTTTTTATAATTAGGCCAAATAGCAGACAGACCTAAAGAAGCACAGCTGGCTTATGAAAGGGCTTTGAAAGATGGATATGTCACAGTTTACCGAAGTAGAATATTACTCATTGGTCAGGATCGAGCTGGTAAAACCAGTTTAAAGAAGAGTCTCCTTGGCCTTCCATTTAACTCTAAAGAACAGAGTACTAAGGGGATTGAAGTGGATCCTTCAAAGTGTGAAATTGATGTTGACCAAGCTGCAAGGAACTGGCAGTCCATTGGTGAGAATAAACCTGGCCTGTTGGAATGTTCCAAAGATGTGGCAAAGATTGTTGTAGAGAAAATTTTTGGACAAGATGATTTTGCTAGAAAAATGACTCTGCAGGTAAAATGTTTAGAAGAAGAAGATACAGATGAAAGTTTAAAAGAAGATTTTGAAAAAGATGCAGCTCACATTTCACCTGCAGATTTTGAAGAGAAAGCTTTTGATGCTTACAGAGATGGCAGAAAGAAGGTGATGTCAGAATTGTAAAAATGTTCTTCGTATACATGTTTAAGGCAGCTTCTTAATGACAGTATAGTTTTAAATGTTAAATGTCAAATGAAGATTATGCAAACCTTAAAGTGAAGCTAAAATTAAAACTGTTCAATTTTTTTAATTGATTTTTTAATGTGTGCAATGGTCTTAGCCAAAAAGCAGGGAACTGTTTATAGTCTAAACAATAATTTCCCTCCCAGTACATGAACTGTTATTTTTATTATCTTATTTACATAAAACTTTGGTATAATTATTTTAAATGTGTGATTAGTTTGCTGCCTAAACTGAATCATTATGGTTCTTGAAGTAATTAATTGCACCTCATTGGATACTTTACCCAGGTTGAGGATAAAGGAGATTACCCATCAGTAGATGCTATGCACAACATTAGCACTGAACACTCAATGGACTGCATCTTAGATGAGCCCAAGGTAGTTATTGATGTTACTCAACCCCCTGATACCGTGAAGCATGTTCATCAGTGGTTGAAGTATGTCCAAGGCAAAGACATCAAAAGTGGTTTATTGAAAGAAGAATCCTATGCTTTAATGGATATTTGGGACTTTGCAGGGCAGCACCTGTACTATGCCAGTCATCCTATCTTCTTCTCACAGCGAGCACTGTACATATTGGTCCACAATCTCAGCAAGCCTTTAGATGCTGCAGCTGAGCCCTGCATGAGACAAGGGAGTAATGAGGTGAAATTGGAAAACCCTAACAATGAAACAAACATGGAGAATTTGCTGTCATGGCTGGCCACAGTACACGGTGTTGCCCTGGCAACTGATGACACAGTTAATGATGCACAACATAAGCTGCCCTACCTCCGTCCTCCAGTGTTTATTGTTGGAACACATGCTGACAAACCAGTTGAAGACATAACAATAATAAAGAAACAAATACAAGAGAGAATTTCTGGTATGGAATATGAGAAGCATGTGGTCAGACCCTTATTCTGCATTGACAACACTCAGAGACCAAACTTGATAAAGAAATTTATCCAGATGATTGGAAAGCAGACAGAAAAACATAAAACAGGTAAGATATTTGATGTCATATCATATCCTTCACAATGTGTTACTTGCAGTAATTGATGGTTTTATATTTGCTCATCAGCTTGTCTTTGTGTCATTTCCTATAACACCTAATTTGTGGCCATTTTTTTAAACAAAATCCCATTTAGTAGATGTTTGGCAAGCATTGAGCATACAATAATTATTATCTGATTGAAATTTACATGTCACCCAGCAGTTGTGTTGTATTTAGTTATAACTTTTTCTGGTGGGTAGACACAGAATGTTTAAGTGGGAGTGATAAGGGAAGAAAGCTGCCCTAATTGAATGAGTTCAGGCTCATAGTAGAAGCTTGTTAGAGTTGTTGTTGTTTTTTTTTATTGGCTGCAATCTTCTAAGGCTTCATCTACTTTGTGTACCAGCATCACCATATTGGGACCTATATATTTTTGCTGGCAGATCCATTCATTTCAGAGTTTGAAGTAAGGAACAAAAGATGATTTGGAGAGTTGAAGAGTTTTATCATCTTAGCTATGTTGTCAGTTATAAAATATCGGAAATCACACATGTATCATACAAACTATGCTCATTGTGAGCACATGTTTCTGTGTTACATTATGGTTTGAATTCATTTTCTAAACATATTCAGCAGGGGAAGAAGGAAAAGCAGATGGAATAAATGAATTGCAGAACAAAATCTTGGAGGTGTTGAGGCAGGAGCCCTATATGGGGGAGAAAATACCTGTCAGGTAAACAAAAATAATATTTTATTTGGCAGACCTCATTTCATGGACTTCAGGATCAATGTTGTATGCATATCAATGTATATGAACATAAAAATTTCATACCTCCACTAATTTGAAGTGTGTCAAAATTCTTAAAACATCAGACTACACAAATACACAGCAGTCATTTAAGTGTTATGACACTATGACAATATTGTATTTTTAAAAGGGTATGAATGCCTCATGGATATTTGAGAAGGCAGAGCTCTTTGAATTGAGATTGTTTAGGGGAAAAACATAGCCATATTTGAATTTTCCTAAAATTTTGAGAAGCTAGACCAAGGAAATAGATGAATAACACCATCTGGCTGAAATGAATATCCAATTTTAAACCCTAGTACATTTGATGTGTTCTGTTTTCTTCTAGATGGTTTTTGTTTGAAAAGGTGATTGAAGCTTTGGTGGCTAAACAGATTTATCACAGGAATCTGCAACAACTCGAGCACTATGCAAGGAAATATTGTTTCATGGAAGATGCAAAAGAGTTTGAGTCCATGATCAGTTTTTACCATGGTTTGGGCATGATAATCAAACACGGCAGTACAGTTGTACTGAAGGCCCAGTGGCTGATTGATCTGTTCAAACAGCTGATAACCATTCCACCTTTCAATAAACAGGTAAGAAAAATTCTTCATTTTCAAAAAAAGCCTTACTTGGAAAATGTTGTTCAATAATTTAGACCAACAGAAAATGAGAATGATACTTTTTCTTTAAATAAATAGGCAACAGCTGTGACTCTTTGCTCTTTATAATTGTTGACCCTAAGCTATTTCATGTATCTTTTGCAACTGTTCACGTCATAAATTGATTTGCCTTTTTCCTTTACCAGAAACTGGCATTGACTTGCCACCACTTACAATGGTTGTATTCAGACAAATGAATAGTTCTTTTCGCTTGTGCTACTTGGTTTCTGGGGTGGTGAATAACAACTAAAAATAAACAAAATTGCTCTTTCAGAGTGTAATTTCCGAGCATTTCAGTACATTGATGTAAATAAACTTCTTTTAGTTCTTGAAAATTTACGTGGAAAACATTTACAACATTTAGTGGACTTCTCTTATCTGGAATTGCTGTTATTCATATATTTTGTAGATTCCCTTACATGCTAAGTACTGGCGTGAACTTGAAGGAAGTGGCATCCTTAACATGGAACATGTTAATCATGTGTTCTCCACCTTTATTGGACAAGAAATCTTTAAAGAAGACATTCTGGACATGATGGAGCAATTTGGTTTGATCGCTAAGTTCTCAGTTTCCCCAACTGACGAGAAGTACTTTGTACCAGCTCAGTTGAAAACATCGCCTGTAGAACTCTGTAAGATGACACCATCATCAACTGATCCATGTCCATTGTATCTCCTCTTTGTCCATGGCTTTGTCCCTCATGGTCTCTTCTTGCAGCTTGTCTCGCGATCCATTCGTTGGTGTTCAAAGACATGGGCCACACATCAACCGAGGCTGTACCAAAATGGAGCATGGTTCATCATTGGGAAAGATATTCATGATTTTGTCCTCATATGCAAAACAGGATTTGTGAAGGTGATCTTGAGACAAAAAAGAGCACAAAGTCATCAGGTTGTGGGGCAGAACTCCGTCGCACTAGCAACTCGTGTTCGTGAATTTCTTGAAGACACCCTAAAGAATTTGTCAGGAGAAATGCCCTACCTGAGGGGACTGCAGTATAGGGTGTGTGTTGCATGTCCTAATTGTCATGAAGGGGCAGAAGAAACGCGTCGTACATGCTCAGACCACATGAAAACCACTTGCACACACGAGGACTGCTTCCACCTCATTGATGCAAATGAAGGTCGACTGGCCATTTGTAACCGAAAACCTTGGAAGATTGTACTACCAGTTTGTGGATTGGAGAAATGGTTCTTAAAAAGAAGAAGCCAGGTATAAATGATTATAATGATTTTTAAGCAAAGATTTCTAGACTCAGTTTCATCTTTGCTTTGCTCCTCTGGTTTACTTAATGTGAATATCAATTGGGCTGTCATCAGTGTTGAGAAAGGGAACCTTGATAGGTTGTCTTCAGTTTCAAGTATAAGTCAGAGAATTTCCAGCAAGATGAAATCGTTTTTGAATTTTGTACTTTTTTGTTTTCCTTGGTAAAGTATTGATCAATTTTATTTAATTATCATAATCTTATATGACTTTTTTTCTTCAGGGTTTGTCCTCTTCAAATTTAGCTGCTAGATCACATGATGAAGCAAGTGAAATCAATCCAATGAAGTCTGCCACAGCATTGAAGGTGACTCTCCTTGGCAGTGAGTGGAGTTCGTCAATGGGAGGCTTGTCCACCATTAACAGACAGCTTGCCATTCTGTTGGCCACACACTCTGAAGTGGACGTTACTCTCCTTGTCCCCCAGTTTGCCTGTTCTGAAGAAGAGAGGAGAATGGCTCGAATTCACAATTTATCGCTCAGAGAGGCACAAAAACGTCCAGGTTATGCCGAGTCCCTTGACTGGCTGTGTGCCCCGCCGAGAGATCTGGACATTGACATAGTATTGGGCCATGGAGCAAAGCTTGGTAAACAAGCTCAATTTATTAGAGAATCTTACCAGTGCAAGTGGTTTCAGGTAGTGCATACTGCACCCGAAGAACTCGGAATGCACAAAAACTATCCTATGGCCATTTGTAAAGGTGAAGAGAAGAATACAACTGAAGTGGAGTTGTGCAAGTTGGCAGATGCTGTGGTAGCAGTTGGACCAAAGTTGAAGAGGGCTTACTCTTCCTATCTGCGCTCATACGAGAAGCACCAGGAGATAATTCAACTGACGCCAAGCACGTTTAGTGCGTTTTCCGACGTAAAACAAGCTGCAGTTGACATGGACAACTTTAAGGTTCTAACATTTGGCCGTGGTGACCCAGAGGACTTCAGCTTGAAGGGCTACGATATCTCTGCTCGAGCAATAGTTGAACTGAAAGACAGATCTTACCATCTGATTTTCGTGGGTGCACCAGACGGTAAACAGGATGAAGTTGCAAAGAATTTACTCATGAGTGGAATTGATAAAAACCAGCTGACCGTGAGGAAGTTCGTGCAAAGGAAAGAGAGATTGAAAGAATTATTTTGTGAAGTTGATCTCTGTATCATGCCCTCCAGATCAGAGGGTTTTGGTTTGACAGCATTAGAAGCGTTGTCTTCTGGTCTTCCCATTCTTGTCAGTGGAAACTCAGGATTTGGTGAAGCACTGTGCACTGTACCATCAGGCAAATCATTGGTGGTGGAGTCTGAGGACCCTTGGGAGTGGGCAAAGGCAATTGCTGGTGTCCGACAGAAGGAAAGATCAGATCGACTTCGAGATATTCAACAACTGAAGAGTTCATATGAAGAGAAGTTTTGCTGGGAGAAACAGTGTCACAGTCTTGTGGAGAAGATGTGGGACATAGTTCATGGTGCGAATGTTTTGAATATTCTTTTAAAAGGTGTACTAGGGGGCTACTCGACTTTCGGTCTCTAATTAACTGTTATGGAGAGCATGAACACCTCATATGAAAATAATGTTAAACATGGATAGTAGTCAGTCGTTTTATCCTCTTGTTGATTGCTGTGATATTAAAACAAAAGTTTCTTTTTATCTCTTAAGCTTCTAAAAGACAAGACACAAGTTTCAGAACTCGGAAGGTCGAAGTTGTTGACACGTCAGCCGAACAACTAACAGCTGATTCATTACTGACACCAAGTAAGTAAAAGAATTTAATAACGCATGATAATTGACATCCAAAAAAAAGTACAGACAGGTTAGAAGGAGATCCAGGAATTTCCTCTCCTTAACTTCGGACTTCAGGCCAGCTATGCTTCGTGAAAACTCAGTGAGGTATTTCTTACTTATGAGACTTATTGCTGTATATATCCCTGCACTCTTCAGTCACAAATGAAAGAAGTGTGTAAAAAAATATGGTTTTCTTTTACTTTCTGATCCGAAAGGATGGCTGAGTGTTATTTATTTCTTTTAGTCATATGAAGTTTTCATCCCGTTTCAATTGGAAACTACCATAAATTGTCTGAAACAGGGAGACTTGGGGTATTCTTTTGCTTTTTCTCAAAACGGAGCCAAAGTTTAAATGGTGTTCCTATCTAAACTGGTTTATGTTCTATTCACATTGCAGTTGTCTTTCGACACAATATCGAAGAAATCACATATTCATATGGCAGAGAAAATATATCAGTATATTTTTGAAGCCCGTAATTTTCTCCAGGATTCCTTTCTCCAGTTACACAGATATGTCAGAGTAATTTATCCTCTGTGCCTCTTCTCTTGATTAGTAGTGTATTCATTCACGGGTATCTTAAAACCTTAAATAACACCAAGAGCTACCCTTTTAAGGCTGGGTTGTTGGACAAAACAGCAGGAGTCTGGAGGTTGAAACCCTTCTTTTCCTTTTTACCTCAAAGTTTCTCTTATTAGATTGGGATTCTCATTTTCCAGAGGACGATTGTTTCGTTTCTTTGATGCAGTTAGATTAATGAGAACTTTGTCTCTCAAGGTTCCCTTGACCGATTCACCCAGGAACTTCAGCAGATGCAACTCGATGCAAGCAAAGGCAAGAGCAAAACAGATCTATTATTGGGGCTGAGGAATATTGTATCAGACGCTGGCTTCAGAATATCTGACAATAAAGGATCAGGAAATTGCATGTTCTATGCCTTGTCCGAACAACTGGAAATTGTTAAGGGAATCGAAATCCCACATGGCGAATTAAGACAAACCTTGGTCCAGTACCTCAGGAGTAAACCAAAACTTGTAAGCTGTTGTTAGTATGTCTAACAGAGTATGTCACGTGATATTATTTTAAGGGTATGATAAAGGTTTAGTGATAATACAGGCCACTTGGCCAACACTACCAAAACCTATCCCAGTGTTCACAGCGTGAAGTGACCAGGGGTACTGTTACTCCTCCTGTATGTAATAATGGTCTCTTTACAGGAGCTCTGATACCAGCTTGTACCCCCTAGTGGAAAGGGGAACTTGAAAGATTTAACTTTATTATTTAAAAAGCCACACAATGATGCTGGTTACAGATAAATTCATATGTTACTTAATGTGTAAATTGCTAATTAAAGATCATCTCGTACCATTCTGATAAAATTACACCCTGACTCGTACTTCACGTGCTCTAGTTCTTATCAAAAATCCTTTTAAGTTTCCTTCTTTAACTGGTTCTTCTTACAGCCGGATGGAACAGATCTGTTTCACTTTGTTCATGGACATCAAACATGGACTGAATACCTAGTACACATGCAACAAGATGGCGCTTGGGGTGATCACGTAATTCTGTGTGCCGCAGCAAACTACTTTGAAACGCGCATTCGTGTGGTCAGTAGTCTACTTCCTAGCAATGATGTCATCATTACGCCACATTGTCCAGTTGACGAAAGCAAACCTCTTGTGCTGGGACATATTCATGAGGCGCACTATGTCAGCCTTCAACCCGTGCAAGGTACAGCTCATTACATTACTCCAATTAAATGTATTTTTTGTTTTATAGTGATATTTGTTAGTTGAGATCCTTAATCTTCTTTTTATTACCGAGTTGACAACAGTCACCCTTTTGGTTGTTCGATTTGTTACTTTGTTCATTTAACACACATTATGAGGTTTGTGGTTTTCGTAATTTCATGACTCATCGCTTGCTCCATCTCAATAATCAAACGCAGTTCAAGCACTCTATTGTTCCCTCTTGCCGTTTAATCACAGTGTTCTGATTATTGTGTTTACAGGTTAAAATGGCAGGCCCCCACAGTCACTTCGATCAGCCCTTATGAAGAGCTCGGCCTTCCAGAATGACTTGATAGGCATACAGACCATTGATGCAAATTGGCCAAGTAGAGCTTTCTTCAGCCTGATTTATCTGATGTGAACTTTAAAAGCTTAGATTTAATTAGAGGTTCTATAATATTAGTTTTCCAATGTATCGCATTAAAAGTAAAATAATCCAAATGACGAGGGGTGTAAAGAAAAGACATCACACCGTGAAAAGTTATCGTAACTATACAAAAGTGAACATGTCTTCGGGAAACAAAAGACTATCATCAATGTGAAACTTTATTTAAGGGGCTCGAAACATGAACTCGATTACTCTTACTCAGTCGACTAAGAAAAAAATTTATTGCTACGTACCATCTGTATGTACAACTGAATAAAAACTATGTACAGTTGCAGTAAAGTAGCAAGCTATTCAATGTATTCTTCATATATTAATATTAAAACGTAATCGAGGTAATTCTTATGCAATGAAAAAATGGCACATTTAATCACGGTTTAAATCATACTATACGATCAGAGTGTTGCTTTAGACCCTACAGCACCATGATCTCAGTAATGCGCGGAATAAACAGCTCTTGCAGTCATGTGCATTTCCCCAAATTTAGAAGGCAACCGATAATCGAGATCTTAAGGGTTAAAGACTCCAGTCTGAACTGAGTCAGTTGGGAGGTTTCCAAATAATGTTACTTCACTGGAGTTTAGCCTGGATTTTTTTTGGGTCCTAATTGATGCCAAGTTTTATAACGATTAAATTTCTTTTCCTTATACGTTCAACTTCAAACAGAATTTCAGAGCATTTACAGCCATAACTCAACATAGCGTCATAGAACATTTCAAGAAAAAATTGTACTTCACGGTTAATTTCAATACTGATACTGACGAAGCGACCTCCATCATTGACTAAGATCACAAGGTTTCTTTCGTGAGGAAGTCATTGCGCAGATAACAATTGTGTGACCCCATAAAGATGACGACAGAATGTGTCACGACTTGTTTCACTACAGTCTTAACTATACCATAAACCCTTGAGACTGTCAATAAATCATATTAAGCTTCTTGAAAGCCTTCTCGTGTCACGCAACGCGCTCGTCTGTCGCACGTGCAGTTCCATTTCTCGCTAATGCGACATTTTTCGTGCGTCGTGCCTCGTTTATCGACATTGGTTTCCACGAGTGAAGATAAGATTTTATTTGATTGGCTTCTTCACTGTCACTTGCGAAGATAAAAAAAAAACGTTCATCGGAGATTGACAGCAATTCTTTTTTCGGAATCCAGTTATGAATCAAACAATAACAGCTGTTTATATCGGTTAGGAACAGGAACTCGGATATTTCACTGAACATCAAATGACGTACAAAATCAGATTTGATTAGCTCCCTCTGGGACGGCATGGCAATTTCCATTCCCTTAGCAGGACTTGAATCTAAGCAACTTGCTGTTCGGGGCAGTTAGCAATATTTCTTCCTTCTACTGGAGCAGTATTCGGCTGAAAATATAGGATTCCATTCACCTAAAAGAAAAAGTTAAAAAAATCTAAATCATATCCGGGTAAAAAACTCGCGACGAAGACAAATACAACGTACACGTACGGAACGCGCACACCAAGCACCTTTAAGCTATTCTGATTCTTTCCACGTCACAACCATGGATTTAAACATAACGAGAAATTTTGATGGTGGATGTTCAGGCATGCAAAGAATATTATGAATAAGTAATTGGAGCATAAGCTTCATAGATTTGCTATTACCCAGTAAGGTAAGGTAAGCAGTGTAGCCAAGTAGCTCATCTTGACTATCAACTTTGAATCCAGCGTGCTACCCGCCGGAGAAGAGGCCGTGGAAGGAAGGAAGGGGAGGGGGGGGGGGGGGGGGAGGAGAAAGAAATGACACTTTCATCGATCAAAAAGTCAACCTACCTCAAAATAATCAATACAGCCAGAAAAATCTTGTACAAAGGACGCCGCGTTGTCCACAGCTCTAGGATTGACATTGGACAACTTTCGAACCCCTCCCAAGTAGAAATTGGACCGAACGTCGAGAGCAACAGCCGACCCAGGCGAAGTAACGTACACAGGGTTACCATCATTGATAGCCAAACTTCCATTTTGTGCATTTCGTATGGCCTTGACCGTGTACCACGTGTTCAGACTGACTGTAACGTTACTCACTGCCTCGCCGACGCCCTTGCCAAGGTCATATCTCAACTTGACAAAACTAAAAAAATTATGGAAGAATAACAAATTGAAAGAATCAGAAATGATTACAGAGTGAAATCTCAATTAGAAGTTTCAGTAATGTAACAAACACAAGTGAGAGTCATTCAAAACAGTCGTTCACCCAACAAAAGCTACTAACATAATTTAAGTCTGAGCGAAAAGCGTACTTATTATTAAATAAAAGTTTCTTTTTTTTTTAAACTCGTTTGTGCGATCAAAACCCTACACTCTACTAACTGCCTATTGGGCTAACATAGCAGAAAGAGGGATGAAGGTGAGATCACGAGAGTAAACCAAAAATACCGCTGGTTGTCAAAAGCAGATCATAAGAGCGGATTAGACATGCGCTAATGACTAACACGCACACGCGCGAAAGTCAACTTTCTTGCGCGCGTGTAACTCGCGTTCCTGCCGATCGCCAACAAGGCGGGCCAAGTAAAACCTTACCCATTGTGTAGAATGATGGACAAAAAGTCTCCAGTCGTGCTCTGCTCTTCATGGGACACATAAAACAGAATGCCATCCAGCGTTTCCGGTTTAAATCTGATCGTGATCTGTGTGGTAGATCTTATGTTTGTCTTGGCAAACATCATGTATGAAAAATTCTGGAACCGCGGCGTTTGGATTATGATGTCTGCAGTTAGAAAACAAGAAAAAGCGTATCATAAATCGTGCTGATTAAGGAAACATGAAGTTAGGAAGCATTTAAACCGCAGTAAGCGCTGGGGCGGGGGGAGGCTATTGTTAGCAAAATTAGTAGATTGAACCTTCCGAAAGATTAATGTTAAATGTGTGATAGAATTCCCCAAAAAGTACCGCACCCTGAGATTCAGAGTTCTATGAGGCCTAAGCATCCCAAATGCCCGCGGACAGCTCGGTAATTGCCAGAGGATTCCCAGCCTTAAAAAGATTTAAACCCCAAAACCACATACACGACTAAGGCTATCTGAAAATTCGTCTCCCTAAAACACCTTCCATTTACCAAAAAATAACAAATCAATCAAAATATTTAACGAAATTTAACAAAAAAATTTTCACAAACCTTGACTGCAAAATTGTCCAGTCTTTCCCAAAGGACAATCGCAAATGGTGTTCAGTCCATCAGGACGACATGAACCACTAACGCACGGACTGTAACCATAACATGGCAGGCGTTGATTACCGCAGTACAAACCGGTCCATTCCGCTGGACAGGAACAGATAAATGTGGCCCCTTCCTGGGTGCAGTTTCCTCCATTGAAGCATGGCGGGTTCAGGGTGTTACATTCGTTGTAGCTTTCATTACCGACATTTCTTCCCTTGACAACCGCCCAGTCATTAGCTGCGTCGGCCATGCCTGTCGAAGTTGAGAGTTTGATGAATGAAGTTCCTTTAGCGAATCTAATGCCTACGTCATATATAGAACCATGAAATCCTCCGGTTTTAAATTCCAGCGTACTAGGAAGCTGACGTGTGTTGGGAATACCGCCGATGTAAAGTGGCTCAAACAAGTTGAGTCCCACAAGTGGCGCGGGAGACTCGCCTTCTTTACGAGGTTGGGTGTCAACATACAGCCAGCCTTGACGCCCATCTCGCCCTGCGACTACTACATGCCACTCTCTGCGCATGTCCACTGGTTCGCTGTAGATCTTTGCACTGCCACTACCAACGTTATATTGCAGTAAGACCTTGTTGTCTTTCAATCCAATTGCAAAAAAGTCATCCCCGCTCCCTACAAAGGAATTCTGAGCGCTGTAAACTAAAAGGCTATCGTTCCAAGATTTTGACGAATTGTCGAGTTTGAAGAGGAAGGTCACGTGAAAGCTGTTCACTGCATCCTTTGGTACTGGGTACTCTAAATATGATGGGAAGCCTTGTACAATGGTGAACAATGGAACTGTTATGTCAATAACTGAGAATAAAAGATAAAAAAAAATCAGAAAAATGTACTTTGAAAAACACAAAAGCTACGTGAATAGCGCCATAAAAAAGGCAAATCGTAAGTTACGTAGTTGAATAAGAGGGATGTTGTATAATTTTAACGAAAGTAATGCAAAATAGTAATGCAAAAAAATTAATGAAAAAAAAAACGGAATTATCCACACGGAAACGAACTTCGGCCTCCCGATTTCGCGGAAAGATGCTTACCACCGCTAAACTCATTGTCATATTAATATTTTTCTCACGGTTACACTGTACATGCATACATGAATTCAAATCATTCGTTTTTGACAAATTCTGAGAATTTCCACTGCACAACCATCGATCCATAGCTGCTACAATGAGGAAGCGGAACCCCCTTACCTGTTTGACACTGCACACCCACTCGACCCAGAGGACACAGACAAATGAAATCGTTGGGATTTGATTCTTTGGGTATACACTCCCCTCCATTGCAATTCTCTGATTTGCAGGCCTTGTGTACTTCACAATTTCTCCCCTCATAGTCCGCTGTGCAATTACATTCGTAATCGAGTACATTGCCGTCAACTTCTGTGCATTTTCCGTTATTTTGGCACGGCATTCTCTGGCAGGCTGGCATATCACCCTCATTGATGTTGAACCAATTTTCAGCATCTAAAAATAGTGTTTGCCCAGTAATTAAAAGAGAAACTTAATGTACGTGAACTTTATAATTTATGACAACACCATAAACAGTAAAATTATGAACTTTCGACTCTGCCAGAGTCTTGGTCAGGTCACGTGACGTGTGACCTTACCAGCCCTAATCAGAGGGTTGATTGAATTAAATAAATGCCCTTCCACAGCTAGCTTCTGGCTCTCTTGACACTGTTCACAAAAATAAATGTTCAGATAAAAGGTCCAGCTAAACTGAGGATTGTTTAGGACGCAGTTTTGTTAAACTAAGTGTAAGCCTTGTTTTAATAACCGACCCAAAATGTTAACTTAAATTCCAGAATCGTTTCATATGTACATCTTCGGTTGATATGCTGCTCGAAATGGGCTGCATTAGAAATGTGCATACAAGGTTGTCATCAAGAAACGCAGTGAAAAGTAAAAAGGGAAATATTCTCCACATTTACATACCCAAACATGTCAGAGTATCAAAATATGATCCTATTGTCTTTAGCAACAAGACAATATTATGATAGAGAAACTTTTCCTATCCTTATGTTGTTCACAGAGAAGTTCCTTTGTACCAAATAACACAACCATTGACTAAGATATCAAAGAATATAACTTAC